ATTTGAAGGAGTAAAACCTCCTTCAGCTACACGATTAATGTATAGTTTTAATGGATCAGAATTTGAACCAAATGAAGAATTTAAAATGTTTAAGAATATGATAATTGATTTTTATCACAATGATGTTAATGAGAAGTTAGTTGTCGATGAATTAACTGCAATGATGGTTTTTACTGTTGTGGAAGGAAAAATTTATATGACTGTTTATTATATTAAAGCTACATCAACTTCTATTGAAAGCCATGAAGTTGGACCTCGTATTGTCATGGTACCTGGTAGAAACAAATTTGGAGCTGAAGATATGAGAGAAGAAGCAATGAAAGTTCCACAAGAACTTGTTGCACCAAAGAAAAAGAAGAATGTTTCAAAAGATATGTTTGGACAAACTATTGGAAGAGTACATGCTATTGGTGAGGATTTAGAACAATTAAATAAGAAAATTAAATTACCTAAAGCTTTGAGAGAGTCAAAGAAAGAAAAAAAATTGAGTAAGAAATAATTGATTGATGATTATATTTCTTTGTTATTTATCCAAAAAATTATTTTTTACTTTATATTTTCATTAGAAATTGTTTTTAGATTATTTGATATTAGATATTTTTATCCAAAACACTGATTATTTATTCTTTTAGGATTGTTAAATTACTCTTTAATATATGTAAAGGAAGTCTGAAAATATCTAAAAAAAACTCCATACAATCGTCTCTATAAACAAATAATTTTATTATGAAAACCATTTTTAAATACTAATAAATATTCATAATATTCTATAACTATTTCTTGTCTGGTTAGATAAAAATAATATCATTTTTATTTATTTTGTTCTTTATTTACCTTTTTTATCTTTTTAGTAAGGGAATATTCTAAACACGTTAATATAATAGTTTCAATAAAATATATGTTATAGTACTATAAACTATCAAAATTTAGATGTGTATTACTCTAAAACATATGTAATTGATCTTATCATATTTTATTTCATGTTATTTACTTAAAAAGATTTTCTTATTTTCAATAAATTTAATCAAAATTTATTTATAAAAAAAACTTTTTTAATTTATTTTTTATTCATAACAAAAAGACGTTTTAATAAATATTGTATTTCAAGAGTAGACTAATACAAATTTGAATACTATAATATCCATTTCATTAATTAAACATTTTTTCTTTCCCGCAATAGAGAAAAAGAATAATTAATTAAAAGCAAAAATAAAATTGAAGTATTAATTTATAAGAAAAACAGATTTTGAAATTTGAATATTCTCCAAAGACAATTTATAGAAAAAGGAATATTCATAATGATGTTATTTTATTATTATTTAATAACTATAATGAATAATTTAAAAATGGTTTAAATATAGTTTTAGAATAACAACAAAGAAATATGTTATTGATAACAGAATTTAATTAAGACAAAACTAAAAAGAAGATGAACGTCCTGAACATCCTAAATGGAAAAAAGTTCGAAACATGAAACACAGAATTGGGAAGTTTAAAATAACTTAGAATTTATTTCTTAATGCAAAAGAAGACAACACAACAGCCATGTTATTGTTATTTATGTCAAAAGAGTAAAATGTTTGAAATAACTAATCCAAAAATCAAAACAACTAAGTTGTGTGTGTTGATATTACGTTCACTTAAAATGCTTCATCCTGAAATGGAATGTTATTCAATAAAGACAGACATTAATGAATTTATTCAAAGTCATTGGGTTATGTTAGTGAAGTTAAAGATATGTTTGTTAAATTTAATAACAGATAGTTTTTAAATAAATCTCTTGTTAATAATTATCATTTCAGATACAAAAAATAATAAGAGAAAAGAAACTGAAATGAAAAGAAAGAGATTAATAAGTATAGTTCAAACAGCTCAATGGAAAAAAGCTATTCTTGATGCACTTAATCATTGTCCATTAATTGAATGTGGAAAAGACTTTTGTCATGA